CTGCTTAAAGACCTCCAAGGAAGGAGACTCCAGTACTCTCCAAGGGAGCATCTTTCACTATCAAACAGATCTTACTGCCAGGAAGTTCCCCCTAATGTTGAGGTGGAATCTCTTTTCCTGGAGCTTGAACCCATTGTTCCTTGTCTTATTCTCTGGAGCAGCAGAAAACAAACTTGCTCCATCCTCAATATGACATCCCTTCAAATATTTAAGCAGGGCTATCATATCACCTTGAATATATGTAGGTCCTTTGTATTGAATGTATGTAAGTTGAATGTATGTAGGTCCTCTGTGGTCATGATTTTTGTTTTCTTTATATTCCGCACTAAGCTTGGCTTTGCACTTTCTTCTCTGACCTTCTTTAATAATTGTTCCAAGGCTGTGAGGTTTTCTGCTAGTACTATGGTGTCATCTGCATATCTTAGATCAGGGGTAGGCAACCTTTTTGAGCCGGGGGCCGGGTTGCTGTCCCTCAGACAATTGGGGGGCCGAAGCACCAAAAACAAACAAACAAATAAATAAATAAATAAATAAATATTTTTTTAAAAAAATAAAAATAAAAATAAATAAAATACGCATGCACACTCTCTCAGCCCCAGAAAAGCTATGGCAAAACCCCTGTGGAGATTTTGCCAAGAAAACCCCAAGAACAAGTAATAACAATAATCAATATCATCATGGCGGGTGGGGGGCGGCGGCGGCAGCGGCGGCAGGATCGGCCTGGGGCCGGTCCAAAGGCCTTGGGGGGGCCGCATCCGGCCCCCGGGCCTTAGGTTGCCTACCCCTGTCTTAGATTGTTAATAATCCTTCCTCCTATTTTACTCCTCCTTTTTCCGAGTCTATGCCTGCTCACCATATGATATTTTCTGCATACAAATTGAACCTTTAAGGTTCCCATAATCTGGAAACCTCTTGAAGACATGCAACAACAGCCATTATTATAGCATCCTCTTGTCCCTTCCTCCTTCCCCCACATACCACAAGTAAGTCTTCAAGAAATGTGTGGCATGCATGTGCAGACTACAGGGATTTGGGTGTTGAAATGGGGAATGGGGGCAGCGGCTAGCATGGCAAAAAAAACCACAGCCCACCAGGGCAAGTAGGATTCTTGATCGGGGGAGATGGCTGGCTGGGCTGCTGCAATGCGCCAGGAGCTTGGATTTTAGTTTTATGAAGGTTTTCCTGGCGGTAACAAGTTGTCTTGGACCCACAAGAGAGGGAGAGATGCAGGCAACCAAGTGACATGGGAGATTGCTTGTCTTTTCCGGCTGCGTCAAGCCCCCTGAGCCGAGTGCTAATCTTCACCAAACAGAAGGTGCAGGAAGGAAGTCAGCCCCTCTCTCAAGCCAACTCAGGGGGGAAATGTCAAAGCCACAGAAGACCTTGTGGCTCCTCACTCTGCCTGTTTCCTTAGGCAGCCTCCTCCAGCTCTTTCCTCCATGTGATGTTGTAGTTGCTTGCCTTCACGTCCTTTCCGACGTATGGCAATCCTAAGGAGAACCTATCACTGGCTTTTCTCTGCAAGATTTGCTCTGAGGCTGAGAGAGTGTGCTTTTCCCAAGGTCACCCAAGGGGTTTCCATGGCCCAGCAGGGATTTGAATCATGGTCTCCTGGACAGGGTGACCAAGGTCCTCCTTTTCCAGGCCTACATTTCAGCCTTCTGTCCCGGAGAAATTCCAAAATATCCTCCCTTGTAAGCATGACTAAAAAGCAGGAATTTATATTTACGTTAGCATTTTTAACTTTTCTTTTGTAATCTCCTCCATTTTTATCAAATTACCTACATGTTACGGTGCCTTGTCCTTCTTTGTGGTTATGACATCTGGTCACCTTGCTCATCATCATCATCCAGCGCTCAATACCACACTGGTTTTCCATAGTTTTTGGAGCTGACTCTGACTTATTACAACCCTATCAGAGCATTCTCTTTCCAAAATTTCTCCAGCTCAGGTTTGCCATTGCCCTCTTCTAAGGCTGACAGAGAGTCACTTGCCCAAGATCCACAGTAGGTGTCTATGGATGATCAAGGATTTAAACCTCAGTTTCCAGAGCCAATAGTCCGACACTGAGACCGCAACTCCGCGTTGGCGTGATACTTAGTACGATGCTCTGAGCATCACAGTCTCCCAAGTGTTACTGAGTGGGGCTTTGGACCATCAATGGTTCTGATTCTATGTAAAAATATAGAAATCAGCGAGGTATCATTCAACGAAGTAGCATGTCCCCAGTTGTGTCACTTTCTGTAAATTTGTCAGTCTGTTTGGGATAGTTCTCAGAGCACCTATACTATTCTTATTGTTATTATTTTTAAATGTATTGGGGAGGGTTTTTTAAATGTTTTTTAAATAGCCATTGAATGCTCACCTGGTCTACAGCTGCAAGCAGAGTGGGAACAAAGGTCGGTGAAGCTTCAAAAGCCACCGAGATATATTTTGAATTTCCTCTCTGTGTGTGTATGTGTGTAAGCATGTTAGCTGTTTCAGATTGGGATGCCCCCCAAAAGTCACATGCTCTCAGCCTCAAGGGGAAGGCATGGCAAACCTCCTCTGAACATATCTTGCCAAGAAACCCCTATGACTTATGATGACCCTAAGGTGAACCTATCATAGGGGTTTCTTGGCTAGGACTTGAAGGCACACAACAACAACAACAACAACAACAAATAAATAAATAAATACATTGACCAACAGCCTGAAGGCATATACATAGACACACAATCTAGATAACAAGAATCCAGATCAGTGGTTCCCAACCTGTGCTCTCGGGAGCTCTTAGGGCTCCATGTACACTTCCCAGGTGCTCTGCAACCGCTCCAGGAAAATGGAAGAAACAAAAATCGAATGAAATTAAAGAACAAGAAACAAAAAGTAACCCTACACCTAAACACCATTAACTTGTAAGATATAAGGTAGGCCTTTTAGGGGCTCCGCCATAGAAATTGATTTTACAAAGGGCTCCACAAGTCAAAAAGATTGGGACCCCCTGATCTAGATAATCCTTGTGGAAGCAGGACCTGTCTAGCTGTTCTGTTTATAAATATCTATCAGATGCCCAGGGCACCCATGGCATTGCTTCCCAACAACATCAAGTAGGAGAAAAGAAAGAGTAGAGGATTTCTCCCTCTTCCTGAAGAGGTAATGCAGCCTTAGCAAGGAAGTCTCTTTTGTTTAGATCAGCCCTTCCTTGGCCATCCCTTCCCTGCTGCCTCCATGCTTCAGCAAACGTTGCAGGCTGGCTGCACAACCATGAATCATATTGAGTTTCCTTGTCCTTTCCCCTCTGTGCCACCCTGCCTTCCTCCACTCATTTCTTGCACTGTTTGCTTCTGCAAGTAAAACAAAACTCAGGAGAGAAAGACCAGCCTGGGATGGACTCAAGGAGGACTGCATGCAGCACAGTGGTAGAACAGAGCATGCGTCTCTCCCAACTGCTCCAATACAGCATGACACACACACACATCTGTGGGACTCCATTCCAAGATCCCCATGGATGCCTGTTGTTGACTGCCCTCAAGTCAGTCCTGATTCATGGCAACCCTGTGGATGAGACATCTCCAAGACCTCCTGTCCTCCACTGCTCTGTTCAAGTCTTGCAGATTCAGGTCCATGACCTCCCTGATGGAGTCCATCCATCTGGCGTAGGGTCTTCCTCTCTTTTCTACTTCCCTCCATTATCATTTTTTCTAGTGACTTGTTCATTCTTATTATGTGGCTGAAGTATGAAAACCTCAGCTTTGTCATCTTGGCTTCCAGGGAGAGTTCTGGCTTGATCTGTTCTCGGACCCATTTGTTTGTCTTTCTGGCTATCCATGGTATCTTCAGCACTCTTCTCTGCAGGGACCGTTCTGTATCTGTGCTCACCGAAACGCCATTAATGTTCCCAGGGCAATACCAAATTCAGTGCCTTGAATTTGCACGCCTGGGATGACCCGGTGTCCCTCTTGTCCCAGCTTATGGGCTCAGGCCAAGGACGAAATGCAGAAAGGTTTCAGCTTGCCTTTTCTACCCCCTTTGCCATCTTGGAACCTGGGCCCGTTCCAAGACATTCCCTTTTGGTTTTATTTCTGAATAAACCTTTGTTGTCAGTACTTCCTCCTGCCAGGTTCCCTTGAGCTAGGTCAAGGCAAGGTGATGGCATGGAGAGGCAAAGTCCGGTGCCAGAAGGAGTGCAGCTCTAAAAGAGGCAAAGAGAGAAATATTGTATAATCCAATGGGCCAAAGAGGCAAAGGGACCCATCTTTCTCACAGCCCTCCACATTTGCAGCTTTAACTTTTTTGCAGATTTGATTATTTGCAGATTTGATTACTACGTTCTCTCTAGGAATCACTAGGTCTTCCTGCGCAACTCTGGCAGAAGTTGACTATAGACTTGTGCTGGAGAACCTAGATGTTCCTAGAGAAGACACTTTTCTTAGCATTTGTAGCTCATCCAGCATGATTCTGTGATCCATTTCTGGCAGATGCTGGCCAAAGAGTTACACTGGAGAGATTCCTAGGAGATTATCACACTAGGGCCAATTCAGCAACAATTGCAGTGTGA